AACCAGCCTCAGCTCAGTAAATGTGTCACTCACTAAAGACTTCAGTATAACAGAGGATTGAAGAACATGAAAGAAAAAGTGACATGACCTTTATTTTATAGATAAAATCTACAAACTGTAATAACAAAAGAAAACTCCATCCTCTGTGTGTTGATGAAACCATGACACTGTCCGTGGTGCTGAAGTAACAAATGCCACGTCTGATATTAAATTGTCTCTAAAGCAAATATTAAAAGCTCTCAGTCATTTTAAGAGACGTATTGTGGCAACGTTCAGAGCGACCTCAGTTTCCTGAAGTGGTGAAGAGGCTGTTGTTAGAGTTAAATTTTGCTCTGCGATATTTGATTTCCACTACTAAGAGTGCGTGTTGGAATGTGTACGGGCGCCGTGTCGCTGCTTCAAGTCCCTTACATCACCTTTAAGACACGGCTGAGAAAGAGCAAAGCTCTTGAGAGAGATCAGAAAGGATGAGCAAAACTCCAGAGGTCAGCTGCAGTAACACACACCTGGGAATGTGATTACATTTGCTTTAGGTGCAAATGCTCTAAGACGACCTCTGCTGAGGAGAATTAGAGTGACGTGTCATTTCCATTTCAATTTCTACAATATTACTTTGGCTGCCAATCAAACCCACAAGTCTTGTTCCCATTTAACAGATGACAGAATATTCAAACTCTAGATTGTACAGATGTCTCCTGAGCTGTTACACTAATAATCTCACCATATGAAATGACCAGGGAGTAGAGAGGTGTTACTTTAAAAGTGAGCGAATGTTGTAATACTCTTTTGGGCCTCCGTGTGGATTAAAATCACCTCTCACTGTCCAGGCAGACAAAGTCCAATAAGAGAATATGTTCCATCAACATTATTTCTCTGCGCGTTATTAAACTAAGCTTCATTTGCAGTGAAAATCCTTCCTGTCTCTGTCATGTCCCGGCGCCATGAAATCCTGCCGGCTGCAGAACAAGGTAACTAGGGTTGGGAATTCTCTGCACGGCCATGGGAGGATCATTGATAGTGTTTAACTGCTCCAGCTGTTGTACGGTGGTTAGTAAAGCAAGTGTGCCGTGGAGAACGGCAAGAAGAGATAGCTGAGATATAAACGGAGCAGCAAACCGCCGAGCGCTTGGCGCCAGAGGGAAGGACAAACAGGCACTTATTTATGTATGCCCGGACATGCCGGGGAGGCTGTAGTGTTTGCTTTGTGAAGCAGATGCTTTTTTACGTAGGGTGGACAAACCGCAGCAACACACCACCTCACTGTGCTACACTGCATCAGTGCTTTTATTCCCTGAAGCCCCATCCCTAACCACGGCCTTCACCACAACATGCCAACTCTAATCCTCCGCCCGAATGCAAACTTAGAAGATTAACTTCAAATGTTTGTGTCAGAAAATATTTTACCAAGCCTGATTCAGAAAGTTGAGAAACCCAGCGGACATTGCAGAGCTCTGATTGAATATAGAAGCTAATGTCAAAACACTGGCTCCACAAACACTGGGATTATTGTAGTGCAGACAGAGTATCATTCTCACCTGATGTGATCAGTTTCCTGCATAACCACTCCCTCCCTGACCTTGCATGTGAAATTGCACAGCTGTGTGAAGAGGTTTGCAGGTTTTACTGATTTACAGGTAATAAAGTCATTTTTTGGACCAAGTCTATGTTTGGATTAAGTTGTGATACTGCTCACGTTAGAATGATGTAACTATATTAGATTAGAGAGTCTCTTCGGCTAAGTCCACACTACTACATTTTCGTTTTAAAACGTCCACGCGACTCAGAGACTTTGATGTGTTCGAGCATCAAAAACAGAAACTTTTGGAAATGCAGCTGGATTTGTTTTAGTTTGAAAACCCCGGGGTTGTGTTTTATTTTGAAAAGTGGTCAAAGCCACATGAATAACAAAATACAAGTGTTACTGACCTTGTTGTCTTTGCTGGCAGCTGTTGTTCAGTTAAATCCAGCATTAGTTACAACAGAGGAGACAATCTGCTTCCTGTTTACACTGGCTCGCACATGCCCAGTGTACGTGAATGGTCATGTATGTGTGTTTTCAGGTGCGTTACTCTGGACGGAGATCGTTTTGAGTGTGGACGTAGTTCTAGGTAAAATGTGAAACATTTCATTAATGCTAATTTCAAACCTACACGCTGCTACAGCTAGGTAAACAATGGCTGACAGGGGTGGGGATGGTTGCTACACCATATGACAAGACAGTTTCTCCATCTACAACTCTTCTTCAGCAGCCAAGTCAGTGGGTAAGAAGATCTGACGGGGGGAGGGGGCACACATACTTAAATCTTTAAGATTTAAAAGTATCAGGAACAGCTCATTATTGTGGATCACAGTCATTGTTAAAGAGCTTTAAAAGTCGGTGGTGAGTTCTTTATGATCTCACAGGAAGACGGTGAAGCGTTTGCACACATGCAATAAACTTATTTGTGGTGTGATCTGAATTTAGGGGCAGGTTAAAGCAATGGAACTCCTTGTATTTAACATCACTTATTGAATTCTGCAATATAGTTGGAGAAGTTGGAAACATTGCTATTTGTCTTAGACAAATAAGGGAACTTTGTCTCAAAGTTTGAGAGCTCTATCACAAATATTTGGTGAGTTATAGGCGCTGAGACACAAAATGTTAAAACCATTCCCAGTCTCCCCCACTGAAGGAAATACAAGATGGACACCAGCTACACTGGTTCTACAGTGTGTCTTCATGAGGATTATGAAAATGGGTGATCATTTAAATTGGCATTAAGGCTTAAATGAGAGTTGTGTTTGCTGTAATTGAAAGGTCTCAGGGTTAATGCTCTTGTTGCTCCAGCCCTACGGCCATTTCTGGAATATGATTTTCAATATGAGGCAGGATCACCATGCTTCCTCTGTCAACATGTCCACGCTCAGAGTTTAAGGATTTCAATGCTCTCATTGTTTGTCTATTTGTCCAGTGCCTTCTGCTAATGCCTTCACTTCACATGTACAATAAATGAGAAAATTCAATTACATATATCTTGTCCAGTCAAAGTAACTGAGAAGAGGCAGATTTCCTTGTTTCCTTCAGTAAGTGTCCTTCAGTGGCTGATTTATCTGTACAAGCTGAATCCCTTCTTGACTTACCCGTCAGTTAGAACCGCGTCACCAGACAAGAGTGAGAGCACACAGTGGGTTCAGTTAATAACTAGAGTGGCACTCAGTAAAGCTCATACTTGCATCAAGGCCAAACAATCACGCCAAAGATAAATCAGATTTTACACATCAAGATTCAAACATTATTGATGAAAATGTCGAAAAAAAATCCGCTCCTTTAACCAGATCTGCACCAAAATTGGTCGACTACCCCCAAAGGCCACGCCCCCACCCGTCCAACAACTGGTGCAAATGGCCTGAGTACTTTTTTGTTTAATACTTTTAACAAACAAACAAACAAACAAACAAAAAACCCAACACGGGTGAAAACATAAGCAAACCTCCACTCCCTCACTTCCTGCTTCGTTACATCACTTCCTGCCTTTGCACTGAACATTGCCAATGAACATAAACACTGATGTGCAGATTTGTCCAATATGAACGTGATACCTCGGGATACTAGGCTGGACTGTCACACTGAATATGCAAGCTGTGGTTAAAGTGGGCTGAAAAAATCTGGAACGATCCACCATCTTTGATTGATAAATAAATAGATCTGACTGGCAGAAACAGAAACAAGAACCGATTGGTTTCATATGTAATAATGTCGAGTGAGTTAAATTACGTCTTATTCCACATATTTATCAGCTGTGTCTAAACTAGATGGACAATTATAGAATTATAATTAATTTAATTGTAATTATGAGAGTCGTACTTGTTTTTCTTGAGAGGCCATTGAGCTCAAATTGGTGTTAAGTCGTAAATGTGGTATTTAATGGTTTAATGTGGTCTGTCTTGTCACTTCCTGGTAAAATTAAGGAAATAATAATAATAAAAAAACTAAAAAGAAATAGCAAGAAGCAGCAACACACACACACACACACACACACACACACACACACACAGAAGAGAGGAGCAGAATCAGACTGGTGATCGGTCAGACCAGGACAGATTGCTGTGGGCCATCCAAAAGTCCATGAAAAGTTCTTGTTTCAACGGGCCCTCTGTGTTTCTTTACAGGCCCTCTCAGTGTGCCTGTCATTCAGGGTGCCCATAAAAGCATCCTGCGTCACAATCAAGCCCCCCCACCAAACCTGCCAAACATGCCATGTCCGTCAGAACAGCTTCTCTCTGCTAAATGTGACTTTAGCTGAATAAGAGTTCTTTGAAAACAGCGGCTTTATGTGTAATTTTACAACAGGGTTTAAGTTCTAATGTCGATCAGACGTCACATTTGGTCGGAGTTTTGAAACTCGGCTCTAACCTTTACCGTTCTCTGCCACTTGATTCTTTTATCAGATGAAATCTCCTCGCTCACCTTCAACGTTAAACTGAAGTCAACCTTGATGTTTGCAGGAGTGAGCGAGCACAAAATCTCCTCTATTGTGAATTTTCCTCACAGTTCACTCAGAGGTGTGTGTTTGTGTGTCCTCGTAAGGATAGATATTCCACACACACACACACACACACACACACACACACACACACACACACATACACACACACACACACACACACCTGCAGTTTTATCAAAAGCTCCTCAGCTCAGCAGAAAAACACAATCTTGGGAAAGTAATTGGCCTGACATGCAGATACACAACGAGATGGAGAAGGTGGAGGGAACAGTGAGCTGCCGTCAGTCAAAACAGTGGAGAAAGTGTCGGCTGTGTGGGAAGGGGCGAAGAGGTCTGGGGCTGAATTTGAAAATAAAACTATCGCCAGTGGCAAGGTGGCCCGATGTTATCTTAAACAAGAAATCGGCTCAGTCTCCAGGATCAAGCACACACTGTATTTAAAGTGTACGCAGCAAAATGAGTCTTCTGTGGGAAACTTCCACGCATCAAAGAACCGCGTACTGTCTCGAGGCTTACCTGGAACAAAGCTCCCCTGCACCACCTCCTTGTACGCCCACCATCCTTCGTGAATTTTCGGCGGATTCGGCTGTGCTGTGAGGTGAGGAACAGAAACACAGAAACAGGGACATCAATCACTTAGATCTGGAATTCAGACAAGAAAGAAAAGGAAAAAAAAAAACACACAGTCCTGCCATGTTTAGACGCTCTCCAACTGATACACCACGTTTTTTTCTCTTTTCCCACCCTCATCATTTCACGGCGCCCCATTCAACCTTCTCAGCAAGAGGCCTCGGCAAATAGAGTCTCCGGAGACGGCCTCAGAGCAAATATGCCTCCAATTAGAATTCAACCTCTCATTTCTGTCCAGCTGAACACACACACACACACACACACTTCCTCATAATGTGATGACTGTCGAGGCATTAGTAGGGAAATGCCTTGTTGTGTGAGCTGTGGAAGAAATAAGTGTCGGATTAGAGGAAGGTGATACAGTATAATTGAGGTGATGAAGTAAAGGTCTCGGTACAAAGAGGGCGTTGTGATCCAGAATCACCCACTGAGCCTTTAGGATATTACTTTTTACACCTATACTTTTTTTTCTGTTCATTCATCAAAGTCACACTATTGCAGGAATAAAGCTCCTCCAGTGTAAAGGTCTGTGTCCATGTGTAGTGTGATTATAGATCAGGTCTAGCTTCTATATTAATACTGTGAAAGTATCAAAGCCTCAGTCCACAGAGAAATGCACACAGCCTGTATTCAGAAACTGAGCCTTAAAACCAGCCATCAGGACTTCTGGAACTTTGTGATGTCACAGCAAAGCAGCCACCAAGCCCCGCCCACCTGGACCCACCATCCAAACCTTGCAGGATTTGGTTTCTCTGAGTGTTTTTACCTGAAATCTGCTTTATTTCTATTGGATCACTCAGAAAACAGTCAGCCAATCAGAAGAGAGGCTCAGAGCCTCCTCTCTTCTGATTGGCTGACTGACCTGTTGTTACTAGAGCTCCAGAGAGAAGCCTGAGAGAGGAGATGTAAAACTACACTGAGATGGTTTAAATATCTTCTGATGGATCAACACTTCAAATAAAACACAGAAGAAGAAGAAAACATGGAGCTTTAATTGACGCTGAGGTGGTGGAACAACTCTCCTCCCTCTGCTACATCCCCTCCAAACACCCCCTGCTGCATTAACACTGGAGAGCAGGTTCAATTTCAGAGGGGTGGGCCAACTGGACATGATCCAGAAAAGGCTATTTTTCTTGGAGGGCAAATTCTCTGCTACCTGAAGCTGAAAACAGTCCTTGGCCTCCCGAGAAAAAAAAATGGATCCTGTTTGTCAGTTTGTTTGTCAAAGTGATAAATTGTTCTTCCTCTCTTTCTGATGGTAAATGAACTTGAAGTAAACACCACCTTTGATTGGAGTGTGTCTAAATCAGTGCGTTGGCCGACTGAGAAGCAGCGACTCTTCAAACCATCCGGGGGAGGTTGGCCCCCTGCCCAGCACTGCTGCCAAATCTACCACTTAAACCCCCACTATTTCATTTATAGTTTTTTTTGTTTGTTTTTAACGTGGTCAAACTAAATCTAAAAAACCCTTACAAAACGATAATCACTCTGTGCCACCACCGGTCCTTCTCCAACACATTTTTATCTCTTTTGGATGAAAGAACAGAAAATAATTATGTGTTAAAATTGCAATGTTTACCACTTCAGACTCCAAGGCACTGGAAAAATTCATTATGATGCTTTACTGAAGTTATTATTATAAAGGGAGCCTCCATGTCTCCAGGGTGGGATTATTAGGACCCAAACACAGAGTGGTGCAAAGGCTGTATTGTAATCCTGAGGATTATTTTTATAACAATAATAATAAATATAATAATTATTATAATAATAATAATAAATAATATTATTATCATTAAAAATCCTCTTTTCCTATCTGTGCAAACAAAATGTTCCTTCTTTATTTTACACCTTTACTGGGAAAGAAATATTTTTAGAGCCATGAAGAAATCTGTGTTTGGCCTGTGTGAGTTCACACTAGAGTGTGAAGCTCAGTCACACTAACATTTATAAAAGCAAAACTTTGGTCCAAAATCAGTTGATTTAAATGGAATCTGTGTAACCAGTGAACTTGTGAACCAAGTAAATTTACTTTTCATCTGGAGTTTGACTTTGAGCTCTGACTTGTGAATGTGTGTTTTTCACCAACGGCAAACCATCTTGAAATTGCTGAACTAATATTAGCTGTATAGCACCAGCCAATTTTTAAATCTGCTTTGCCAAACAGTGTCAGGCATGTTCCTTAAAATGTTATCAATTACTCATCACCTATTATTAATTAAAAAAGTTCCTGAATTTGCCCTGGGGGAAAAATAAAGTATCTATCTATCTAAAAATCAGTTACATTAAAACTCAAACAACTCCTCCTGTATTGAACACATGTAGAATCAACATGTGGTTTAATGAGCAGTCAGTCTATGGTTTAAAGGTAATTATTAACATCTAAAGCTAGCTTAGCTCCAGTGAAGGCGGAGAGAAGCAGAGAAGCTCTAGGGTTAGCATGCCCTCCAATTCTGAATGACGCCTTGGATTAGCCTTCGAGCAGGACACCCAGCTGTGCTAACGATGCTAACAGGAGCATATATTTGACACAATTATTACACCGGCACCACACATGTCCTACCTTGTTGCCTATTTTTGGATTAGCTGGGGAGTTGGGTGGAGTCAGGCAAAGCCAAGACGACAACAGCGGAGCAGCTCACTCTGAGCTTCAAAACTGCTCTCTAGGAAAAACGTTGCGAGTTCAGCATCAAACTTCATTCTTTTACTCACTAAGGGTGGTCTTTACAGGTGGAAGGCAGCTCTACTGAAGTTAGCATGCTAACCTGCTAGCCCCGGCCTGGCCTGGCCGAAGTAGCTGCTCAAAGACATATTATTACCTCTTGTGTTGTCAACACAACGATGGCTGAAGCTCTTGGTGAGACTGGTGTGTAAACAGCTATAGAACAGTAATACATCTCTATGTTGTCACACTGTTTAGTTGCTGCAGAGCTCAATAGATTTCCACAAAAACAGAACAATGACAGACGCTGCCAGGTTTAAAGGAGTAAGTTTGGCTAATGCTACATAGCTAACATTAGCATTTACAGTTAACAATGCTGAATAACAAACACTGTGATGGTGGTTCACTTCATTTTCATCCTGTCTCATGAGATGGAACCTCAGAAATAAGAAAATATAATGAGCGTTCAAAGAGAACAATGGAATACAGTGTTACTTGGGTGTGCGCGTGTGTGTGTGTGTGTGTGTGTGTGTGTGTGTGTGTGTGTGTGTGTGTGTGTGTGTGTGTGTGTGTGTGTGGAGATGACAGCCCTTGGGATTCTAGCTACTGTAAGTAATAATATAAAGGAGATTTGGAGGCCTGTGGACATGATCCTCTTACAAGCTACTGACAACAATACAGATACAGTTCTCTTCCTCTCTTACTCACACTCTGCACATGTGCAGTGTAACACAGGTGCTGTCCCTGACCAAAATAGAATAAAGCACCCTTTATGGATGGATATGCCCCCCCCCTCCCCCACACACCACCCCCCCCCCACCCTGTTGTTTTAGTCTAAGAAGAGTGAACATGAAACAGTTTTGTTCCCCTCAGTCGTCGACGAACAGCTGCTGAGATGCTACAGTGATGGATTCTGAGGTGAACTGAACCTTTGATGGTTACAGCTGCACTGATTACAACAACACACAGTATGAAAAATAAAATATATGAAATACCTGTTGAAGATGTAGTAAATAGGAAATAAAATGAATGAAGAACACTGACGTAGAACTAAATCTAGTTTTGTTTTATAATCAATTGATTATAATCAATTATTAAGATGATATATTTTAGCTACTGTGAATTCATTCATTTCATTTGCATTTAAATTGTTCAAATGATCATTTCAAAAATAAATTGTCATTTTAATTAATTCATGACGTCTAATTAATTTTTATTCTCTCTTTTTATTTTCCATCATTTACGAGTATTACAAGTTAATTTCTGCTTCACTATTACATTACATTTATTTTGAACGTCTCATTTCTGTTTTTAAATTAATTTGTATTTTCATTTGAAGAATTTCTGTTTTATTTTGTTTTAATATCATGTATGTATTTCTATTCTTAGTTTTGGAGTAGCTGTGCAGATGTTTTGTCGAACATCTGCTTCACTTGTGATGTTTTTTTTGCCAATGCAATAAATAAATTCATAATAAATTATATAAATCTATAATTAAATATATTAGTGGTATGGCAAATGAATGCATGAATAATATATATAATATAATAATAAAATATTAAATTTGCCTACCACCACTGTGGTTGAAGGAATAACTAAAGGATTTTACATTTGACCTCCTATTGTTCCATTTACTGTGGGAACAGCTTATATGGATCACAGCTACATCATCCATGTGTGTAATCCTGTGACCTGCTGCTCGCAGCAACGTGTAGGGTGTTGGATCTGTTGTGTGCAGGTGATTAAACACCTGTATTCATCACACGGGAGCAGGAACAGGTCCGGATCTCACAGTAAAGACAGTTCTGTGTTCTTCTGAACATCATCACGGACTGAAATGACACAGCTGTTCTCGGGATCAGTTGCATCTTACACTATAAAGGCTCATCCATATGATCACTAACACCATAAATCATCCAGTTTATGAGCCGCGAACACACGTTAGAAAAGGATCCTGCTCAGGTCTGGTTCGCAAGCCTGCACCTGCTCCTGTGGGAGAAACTTAACATGAACCGATCTGCTACCTGCAATTATCTCGAAATCAGTGGCAGGCCGCACAGACCCGTTAATACGAGACCTGGACTGACCTGTAATTAAAACCAGGCTCAGAGCTGCTGCTGGACAGTGAAGGGAAAAGCTCGGGGGCACAGGAGACTGTCGGGGGGCACAATGGCAAGAGGTAATAAATGATGATATATACATATATATATATAATTGCAGAGGCAGTCCTCCAGGTTTTCAGCGTATTATGTTCACCTGTTACTCCTTCTTCTCAGAACCAGCTCTGTGGTACATGTGCACA